CCCCCCGGCCCCCCGCGTCTGCCCGCCCCTGCGCGCGGGGCACCGCAGGACTGGATGAATTTAAGCGGGGTCCGTGGTTTACTCGGACATACTCACCTTTGAAGGCCTTTCTGCCCTTTCCCCGCTCCTGCTCTTTGCCTGTCTCCTCCCGTACCGTACCACCGCCCCTTCCTAACGAAACCCTTTCCCTCCCTCCCTTTTTTTTTTGGTCTTTTTGAGACGGGGTCTCGCTATGCAGTTCAGGCTGGCCTTGAGCTCACTTTGTAGCCCAGGCTGGCCTGGAACTCGCAACAATCCTCCTGCGATCCTCCTGCCTCAGCCTCCCGAGTGCTGGGATTACAGGCGTGCACCACCACGCTGGAACATTCCTTCATTTCCCTCCTCTTTCCACCCCTTTCTTTTCCCTCCTCTTGTCCCTTTTGTCCCACTATCATTTTCCTTTCACCTCTCATCTTCCCTTTCCCTGTCACCCTTACTTTTCTTCTTCCTCTACTCCCTTCCTCCAGTTTTCGCATCATCTGAGCATTTAAAGAGCAAAGGAGAAGCCCTTAGCGTCTTACCTCCCCAACCAGAACATTAGCTCCAGTAAAAAGAGTGGACCCTGCCTTGGTGGCCTTGACTCACAGCAGGTGGTAGTCTGAGCTTTCACAGGTGTCTCACTGAACCCTCACAAAGACCCTGCAAGGTATGCACTGTTCCCCCCCTGCCATTTCTCGGGGAGCTGAGGCAGAGCAGCGAGCAAACATGACCAAAGGCACAGAGGAGTGGACTTGAACCTAGGCTGTGTGGATGCTTCACGCGCTGCTCCAGAGAAGGCCCAGTGGCTGGGCGGAGCAGGTCTGCATAAGGGTAGAGTGCAAAAGGTCTTCACAAGAGACCCACTCATTCTGTACAACAGAAAACTAAGGTGAAGTTTTTAAAAAGTAACCACAAAAGTATGTTTGAATAATTGTTAGTGATATGGAAAAATGTTCTTGACATTATATAGTATATAGTTAAAAGCAAAAATAAAAATAGCGTTTATCATTCGGATAATACAGGTCTTCAGACTTGGGTAGATGTGTTTGTTTTCTCTCTCCCTAATTAGAATGTGAGTCCCGAGAGGGCGGGGTTTCTGCCAGTCTCCTCACCCCTGTTCTCCAGGGTGCTTGGCAAATAGCTTTCACTATTAATAGTTCATTGGATGAGTGAATGAACAAAATCTCAGAGATACTGACTGCCATAATGAATAACAAAGCAATTGCGCAGTCATTAAAAATAATTGAAGATTTTTAGTGATAAAAATATTGTCTATAATAAGTATACAAGAAAGTTTGTGAAATTTAAAACCACTTATCCAAGGATTTTTATTTATTTATTTATTTATTTGGTCTGTTTGAGACACGGTTTTGATACGCAGTTTATGCTGGCCTTAAACTCACTTTGTAGCTCAGGCTGGCCTCGAACTTGAAGCAATCTTGCCTCAGCCTCCAGAGTGCTGGGATTACAGGTATGCATTTATTTCCATGCCTGGCACCAAGGCGTTGTTAAATGTTACCATTCTGTAGTTTGTATCACGGGGAAAAATCTTCCTTTTTAGTTTTCCCAGTACACAATGAAGTCATAATAATGAATATGCTCTTCAAACTCTGTGCCCCAGACACCGTCCACATAAGCAGAGTTACAGCTTCTCATAAAACAGAGCCTGGTAAGGGCCTGAATTCTGGCATGTGGCGCAGGCTGAAACTGGCCTTTTACATCAGGTGACTTGTAGCCCCTTTCCCGAGGTCCTGAGGTGGCCCTCTCACCACATTCAGCTACTTGCTGGCTCTGAGTTTGCAAATCTTGGCTTAGAGGATGCTTTTCCATATATGGCCTGAGGGAAGATGTGGGATTTCAGCTTGGTTCTTTAAAAAAAGTATGTATGTGTCTATATCATTTTATTTATATGCATAAGAAGTCAAGCTTTAGAAAGGAATGTAAGAACATGGTAATTATCTCTCAAGGGGGTGAGATGATAAAAGACTAGATTTTCTTTCTATAATAAACATGTCTACT